TTCATAGGTCAATGCTCAACTACTGAGCCACGCTGGCTGGGCTAACATAGCTTTTTTATCCACTCATCTACTGATGTGCACTTGGTCTGTTTCCAGATCTTAGCTATTGTAAACTGTGTTTTGGGTTTCTTAGGATATTCCTAGATGTGGGATCACTGGGTCAAATGGCAGTTCCATAGTTAATTTTTTGAGGAAATACCATACTGTTTTCCAGAGTGGCTGCATCATTCTACATTTCCACCAATAGTAGATCAATGGAACCCAGTGTAAGTCTAATAAAAATTCCAAGAGGGCTTTTCCTGGTTTTTGACAAGTTAAACAAAACTTTTATGATATGGAGGAGGAAAAGCTCAAGAACAGCCAAAAAGATCACAATGAACAACAATATGATGTGAGGACAGGGTTCCTGCTCAACCATATATCAAGATTTCTTGTAACATCACAGTAATCTAGACAATGCAGTACTGTCCTAGAAAAAGATAAAAGGACCTAAAGAAGAAACCACAAAGCCCCTATAAGGTCAATGGTCATATATCTGAAAAACTGAGAGGACAGAGATATCACTGAAGGGTCAGTGGGAAAAGATGAGACTATTCAATGAAATGGGTATTCTTGAAGAAAACAAAGAAATTTGATGCACATCGCAAAATCTACACATAAAATTAATACCAGATAGATTAAAACTACAAAAGAGGAAATCTTTATAACCTTGAGATAGACAAGTCTGCCAAACTAAGGCACAAGGAGCACAGAACATAAAGAAAAAAGGTTAGGCTTGACTATTATAAAGCTATAAAACTGTTTTAAAGAAAGACATTATAAACAAAAGGAGAAGCCACAAACTGAAAGAAGTTATTTATCACATAAATAGCCAAACACATTAGGAATTCCTAAAAATAAGAAAAAGACAACAGAGAGAAACCAAGATGGCGGCATAGGTAAACACCTGAAATTGCTGCCTCACACAACCACTTCAAAAATACAATTAAAAGATAAAACGGACATCATCCAGAACCACAGGAAGGCTGGCTGAGTGGAAATTCTACAACTAGAAGGAAAAAAAAAAGCACGCTGAGACTCAGAGGAGGTTCGGAAGTAAAGTGTAGAGGTACGGAGGGGAGCGCAGAAAGGGCTGGCAACTGAGAACATGGTTGTCTTTTTCAATCGGGGAGGGAGACACAAGCTCCCGGAAGCCCTGAACTCCAGTTCTGGGTGAGACTCTGGGGTCCCAGACTCATACGGGGAGAAACTGGACTGTCTGGCAGCGGGTCGAACTCGAGGATGGCTTTCTCTCAGAGGTGCTAGCAGCGATTACTGTGGGACACTGAGACTTTGACCTCTTAGGGCAGGACTGAGGATCAGCCACAGCTGTTTGCTCTGCTCTGTTGATTCCCTGAGACCCCACCCCAACCAACTGGGCGCAGAGGCTTTTGCATATGAATGGCTTGGCCCTCTGCAATCTAAAATTACCTAACAAACTGCAGCTGGGTCAGAGAGACCCAGAACATCCAAAAGAAGGCCCAAGGCCCCACAGCAGCTTGCATTGCTTCACAGCTGGGCCTCATCTGGGCACCTCCAAATCCCAAACAAAGAAGAGGAATCTGCAGATCTCTCCGTAGCACCTGCTGGGTAGCCTCAGGCAAATGCTAAATTAGCACCTCCTTTGAGATCCAAGTGCCAGTGTACCCAGTGGTCAGAGTGGGACCATCCAGATTATAACTCCTCAGGTCCATCAGGGACACACTCAGGGGGCAGACTCAGTGAGCACCAAAGCCCCACTGAAGCAAGTCTTGCCCCAGAAGGGTGTCTCCAGCACAGAAGTTCTCCCATTGTAGACACAGCTGGTCCTCACAGCCAATTGGCCTGGAGGTCAATTCCTCCCAGTGAAACCAACAACAATTAAGGCTTAACTACAACAAGACTGTGCTCACAGCCCACAAAAGGGTGCACCAAGAGTATCCACCTCAAAAAAAAAAAAAAAAAAAAGAGTGTCCACCTCAGGTAATTGGGGAGGCTGAGGCACTGGGCCCTATAGGACACCTAGCACACAAAGCCACTCTATCAACACAGGGAAGCATAAAAAATGCAGAGACAAAGAAACAGGTCACAAATGACAGAAATGGAGGAAAGCCAACTACTGGATATAGAGCTCAAAACCACAGTTATAAGGTTACTCAAGATTTTTCTAGAAACTGCCGATAAATTTAGTGAGACCCTCAAGAAATCTAATGAGACGCTCGAGGATATGAAAAAGGACCAACTAGAAATTAAGCATACACTGACTGAAATAAAGAATATTATACAGAGATCCAACAATAGACTAGAGGATCACAAGAATCAAGTCAAAGATTTGAAATACAAAGTAAAAAACACCCAACCGGAAAAGAAAAAAAGAAAAAAGAACCCCAAAATATGAAGATAGTGTAAGGAGCCTCTAGGACAACTTCAAGCGTACCAACATCTGAATTATGGGGGTGCCAGAAGAAGAGAGAGAGCAAGATATTGAAAACCTATTTGAAGAAATAATGACAGAAAACTTCCCCTACCTGGTGAAAGAAATAGACTTACAAGTACAGGAAGTGCAGAGAACCCCAAACAAAAGGAATCCAAAGAGGACCACACCAAGACACATCATAATTAAAATGCCAAGGGCAAAAGACAAAGAGAGAATCTTAAAAGCAGAAAGAGAAAAAACAGTTAGTTACCTACAAGAGAGTACCCATACGATTGTCAGTTAATTTCTCAGCAGAAACTATGCAGGCCAGAAGGGAGTGACAAGAAATATTCAAAGTGATGAATAGCAAGAACCTACAACCAAGATTACTTTACCCAGCAAAGCTATCATTCAGAATTGAAGGTCAGATAAAGAGCTTCACAGATAAGAAACAGCTAAAGGAGTTCATCACCACCAAACCAGTATTATATGAAATGCTGAAAGGTATTCTTTAAGAAGAGGAAGAAGAAGAAAAAGGTAAAGATAAAAATTATGAACAACAAATACATATCTATCAACAAGTGAATCTAAAAATCAAGTGAATAAAAAAATCTGATGAACAGAATAAACTGGTGAATATAATAGAATCAGGGGCATAGAAAGAGAGTGGACAATTCTCGGGGGGAAAGGGGTGTGGGAAGCGACTGGAAAAAAATCAACACCTATGGATGAGGATGGGGGGGGGGGTAAGAGCAGAGGGTGGGGTGGGAACCGGGTGGAGGGGAGCTATGGAGGGAAAGAAGAGGAACTGTAATAATATGAACAATAAGGATTTTTTAAAAAAGAAATTAAAAAAAAAAAAAGAAAAAGACAACACCCTAATAGAAAAAAAATGGGTAAAAAGCATGAATAGACATTCACAAAGGAAATAAAAAGGGCCAACAAACATATGAAGAATGCTCAACCTCATTAGTAATTTAAAATTAATAATTTGCAAATTAAAACCACCATGATATAACACTTTTACATCCACTAGACAAGTGTTGGTTGGCAATGATGTGTAACAATGGATCTCATACACTGATGAAAGTATAAACTGGTACAGTCACTTTGGAAAACAACTTGGCATAATTGAGAAAGTGAAATAGTAAGTGCTCACAGAAAAAGAAAATACAATGGATAAGTGAATTATAGTATAATCCTATAGTGGAATACTATATAGCAGTGAAAATGAAATGCATGAATCTCAGAAACGATGCTAATGGGAAAAAGCAAGTTACAAAAAAATACAGATAGCAAGATACCATTTTCATAAAGTTCAAAAGCAAGCAAAACTATCTTTTATGACTTCATGCCTATATGACAAGTATATAATAAAAGCAACATAATGAAGTAAAAAATTAGAATAATGGTTCTCTCAGAGTGTTTAGACAAACTTACTGTCTTGGTGATGCTACTTTTAAGTTTGATAATGAACTCATGGGTGTTATTTTGTTACTATTATGCTTAACAAATGAAATGTGTGAATATTCTTTTGTATAAAACAACGTATTTCATCATACCTAACGTTTTTAATAAAAAAAAAGTATGGAGAGCCCTAGCTGGTTTGGCTCAGAGGACAGAGCGTTGGCCTGTGGACAGAAGGGTTCCGGGTTCGATTCCAGTCAAGGGCACATGCCTGAGTTAATAGCTCGACCCCAGTGGGGGGCATGCAGGAGGCAGCCGATCAATGATTCTCTCTCACCATTGATATTTCTATCTCTCCTTCCCTCTCCTTTTATCTCTGAAGTCAATAAAAATATATTTTTTTAAAAAGTATGGAGAGCCCTAAACGGTCTGGCTCAGTGGATAGAGCGTCGGCCTGCGGACTGAAGGGTCACAGGTTCGATTCCGGCCAAGGGCATGTACCTTGGTTGCGGGCACATTCCCAGTATGAGGTATGCAAGAGGCGGCTGATCAATGTTTCTCTCTCATCGATGTTTCTAACTCTCTATCCCCTCTCCCTTTCTCTCTGTAAAAAATCAATAAAATATATTTAAAAAAAAATAAAAAGCATCAAAATGAAAATGAAATGAAAAATTATTGAAAAAAAAAAAGGATGGAAAACTCAATCAATAGTGAAGAAGCGGCAGTGTGTGCAGACTACTCAGTAAGTACGTGGTAAGGGAGAGTCTTTTATTTTTTAAGGACCAAGGGACATCTGTTTGTAGAAATGGAACGCAAAGTGAAGAAACAGGAAAAAAAATAAAAAAGCAAGTAGAGTCAATAAAAGCTGCTGTTTTAATTATGTTTTTATTCTTTATGGGATATCTTTGGGTTAATATAACTGTATCTTAGAAAATTCAGAAAAAAGCAGTCCTGGAAAAAAGAAATGTAGACAGTTTAGTCTCTTTCCCCAGTAACATAAGAGTAGAGGGATAGATTTTAAACCATAGCAAACACCCAGAAGTCTCATTTGGCTGTGTAAATTACATGTAATACTAGTATGTCCTTTTCTGTTACTGTCCCAGATACAATCACTCCTCAGGCAACCAGTAATAATTGATGTGCTTAAATTAAGCCTTACCTGAAGAGCCTGGTCAATAGAGGCAACTGGATGCAACATGATGAATAATATGAAAACATACAAAATAATCACAGACAAAACAAAAAGATCTGAAAAAGAAAGAACAATTAAATTAGAAAGTTCCTTTATATAAAAAGGCATATAATAACTGGTACACTGTCAATCCTGTTAGTTCTAATTTGATTGTGAATACTGAATGTTGCTATTTAGGTTGATTAAGTAAATAAAGTATGCTCTATATTACTTCCTAGAGTATGATACATTTTTTAGGACCAAAGTATTCATTTATGTGATGTAAAAATAAACAGCATTTAAAAAACTAAGAGACCTTTATGAAAATTTGTATTTCTCCCAGATAAACAGCTGCTTAATAAGAAAATCAAGCCAGTCAGAACTCACAAATAAGAAACTAGACTATTTATGGCAAAACGAGATCATCATTTAAACATGTATGCAATGACAATTATTGTTGATTGTACTAGTAAAAATGCTGAATAACATTTATTCTCAGTATTAGATATGTTATAATCCTAAATAGAGGCATTCTAAGTTGAATGTAAGTATATTTCTGCTAGGTGAATACCACTATTTCATTGACTTCTGTGAAAGTATTTCCACAGAAAATGTTAAAACCTAAAAAGTGAGCTGATTGCCCTAACTGGTTTGGCTCGGTGGATAGAGCATCGGCCTGCAGACTGAAGGGTCCCAGGTTCGATTCCGGTCAAGGGCATGTACCTTGGTGGTGGTTGCATCCCCGGTAGGGGGTGTGCAGGAGGCAGCTGATCGATGTTTCTCTCTCATCAATGTTTCTAACTCTCTAACCCTCTCCCTTCCTCTCTGTAAAAAATCAATAAAATATATTTAAAAATAAATAAATAAAACTTTCTGTTCATGGCCCTTTTGTTAACTATGTGCTTCCATAATGAGTCATGAGAGAGGCTCAGAAATTTCCCAACTACATTGATAGCCCTCAACCTTTTATCCCTTTTCTCTTTGGTCTGAATATTTAGTTACAAGTTCCTACTTGAGGTCAGCTTCAAATCCAAACTTTACTAGGACCATGTATAACCAAAACTTTATCATGAAGCTTTCAGAATATTGTTTTATATATACATATATACTGTTTTATAATACACTAGAGCAGTGGTCAACCTTCCTAATGCCGCAACCCTTTAATAGAGTTCCTCATGTTGTGGTGACCCCCAATCATAAAATTATTTTCGTTGCTACTTCATAACTGTAATTTTGCTACTGTTATAAATCGTAATGTAAATATCTGCTATGCAGGATGTATTTTCACTGTTACAAATTGAACATAATTAAAGCATAGTGATTAATCACAAAAACAATATGTAATTATATATTCAATATGTGTTTTCCGATGGTCTTAGGTGACCCCTGTGAAAGGGTCGTTCGACCCCCAAAGGGGTCATGACCCACAGGTTGAGAACCGCTGCACTAGAGACCGTGCACGAAATTTGTGCACAGGGGGGGTGGGGAGGGGGGGTGCCGCCGAGAGAGGGTGTCCCTCAGATCAGCCTATACCCTCTACAATCTGGGACCCTTCTCACAATCCAGGACTGCTGGCTCCCACCGCTTGCCTGCCTGCCTGATTGCCCCTAACCACTCCCCTGCCAGCCTAATAGATGCCTAACTGCTCCCATGCCGGCCCGATTGCCCCTAACTGCCCTCCCCTGCTGGCCTGGTCACCCCTAACTGCCCTCCCCTGCTGGCCATCTTGTGTCCACATGGGGGTAGCCATCTTGTGTGTTGGAGTGATGGTCAATTTGCTTATCACCTCTTTATTAGATAGGATAAGTTATTGGGGTCAGTTAAAGAAAAAGTGTTTAAAAAATGCCAGTTGGAAGTACACAAACACATAAACTAAAAAATAAATAAAAACCCGAAAAAGGACAAAAAGATATGTCAGACTACAAATGCCAAAGAAAAATGTGGAGACAGAAGTTTTGTTTCAATAAAGTAACAACCCTATTAAATATTTTTAAAATCCTATTGCATTTTCACACACAATAAGCAAAAATAGATCTGCAATCTAGTTCCTGGCATATTGCAAGAGGAAAACATTTACTCAGGCTCAGAAACTTTTTACATCCACCTCAACAATGCTTCTCAGATGTTCATGTCTTTCTCCTGGAGCAACCCCCTTTGATCATACCTCTAAAACTCTGCCAAGATCTCCAAGCGAAGGAGAAAATAAATGAATCTTTCCTCTGCTTAGCCAGGGGAGAAAAAGAGTCACTAATCAAAGGAATTTGACAGGGGAGATGGGTGGCTGGCAGATTTATACAACCACCCAAATGAAAAGACCAAGATGATTTCAACTAAGAATAGAAAAATCAGGTATTCATTTGAGAGGTAAGAGTTTTCAGTGGACTATGCTCTCAGCCCCTGGCTTCTCCTGGCCCTGTAGCTTTCTTAGTAATCCTATCGGAGTGCAAGTAATACTCTTCACCAGAAGATAGCTATTAAAACAAATTCTGTGTTGTGTGGTGATTAAGGGTCAGGGGAGAATGTTCCTTAAGTTAAAGATTTAGATTGTTTTACATTCTGCCACAAAGCTATGTAAATACTAGCAAGTCATTCAGCATCAAATTATTTTAACTAGAAAATGGGGCTATAATGAGAAACCCATAGGAAAGAGTAGATTTAAGTACTTAAAATGCAACGTAATATGTAAACTCAAGTTATTATTAAATATGTCCCAGTTTATGGCATCACAGATTTGTTAATGACACCAGATCCTTTTGATAGAATATAACACCAAAGTAAGGCACCATAAAGGATTTCCTTTATAGTCCCTTTTTTTGACTCAAAAACAAAACCTTACGTAAAGTAAAAAAGCCCACAAACCTTATGGCAGAAAGATGTGACTTTGGGTGGAGAGCAGACGATGCAGTATGCAGATAATGTGTTATAGAGTTGTACATTTGAAATCTGTATAGTTTTATTCACCCATGTCACCCCAATAAAGCAAGTAAAAAATAAACAAACAAAATTTTTTAATGCTATGGAAGAAAAGTCTACAAGTACAAGTCTCCATTCTATTGGCCCCTTCTGCAGGATGCGAAGGTGACAGAAGTGAAGAAATCCATGTGAACATTGGCTATACCCATGTCAAAAATGAAGAACAGACAACTGTGCTGTGCAGACCACCCAGAAGGAAAGTATAACACCCTCTGTTCCTGCTTCTAATTGAAACTTTTATGTAAAAATAAAAGTTGCAGCCAGAAGTAATCGGTTATGAAAACCAGGAATATTCAGAACTGGTGGCTTTAATTTTAAACATAGGGTGGCAGCTACCAGGAGAATAAAACAGACAATAAACATCTAGATAACTAGGTTTATTCTATTTATGGATATATCTTTTACTTTGAAAAGACAATTTTAACTCTACTCTTCTTATATTATTTTTAAAGAAGGTAAGCAGTATGGGAATCACAGTAAATGCCAAACTTACAATTCTTGTAGCAAGGTTGCCTGAAAGGTTTTCCTTTTGAAAAGGCAATTGCCACTATGAGGTACTGAAAACTGGAGATAAAAAACACTGTGGTATTTTCATAATTTTGTATATTATGTGGATCATCTTCGGTTTCATTGTACAAATGTGAAAAATTCCCATATAGGCTTCCTGTTGTATTACAAGCACTGAAACATACAAAAAAAAATTTACGTTACTAAACACAATACCAATTGCACAAAAGAAACCAATTCTACCTTACTTGCCTTGACTATCATAAAATAAATAGAAATAAGGTATATAGCAAAAGACCCAACGATATTAAGGTTAAGATATATAAAACAGGTAGAAGAACATTAAGGGTTTTTTCAATTTAGTCACATTCCAATCAGTTAAAAAATTAGAAGAAACCTCATTACTTAATAAACCCCTCTCACTTTTTAAATTTGGGGAGTAATTTTAGCATAGTAAAGGTAAACTGACCTTGGGTTTGACCTTAGCTTTACCATTTTTTAGCTATCACTAAGGAAATATTTAATTTCTGAGCCCATGTCCCGACCTGCAAGTGTGGACACCACCTGCTCATTCAGAGGGTTACTGTGGGAAATGAGTATGATAAGGTGTATACATGCCCAGCAAAGCACTTGGAACTGAAGCCCTCAATATTTTCCAGCTACGGCTCTCTCATCTCTACTTCCAGGTGAGGACTGGCAAACAAAGAACTAAATATAAGAAGTCCCCAATATCCATCACTAAAACATCAGGTATAATAAGCATTGTTAAATGATAACAAATCTGCTACAAATCTGGAAAGATTCTTGAGAACAACCCCATCTATTCCTTTTCATATGCAGTGTTTATATGTACATACTAGAGGCCCGGTGCACGGATTCCCTTAGCCTAGCCTGCCAGAATCAGACCGAAACTGGCTCTCCAACATTCCCCAAGGGGTCCCAGATTGCGAGAGGGCCCAAGCCAGGCTGAGGGACCCCACTGGTGCACAATTGGGGCCAGAGGAGGGGTCGCAGGAGGGCTCCAGGGCGTGTCCAGCCCGTCTTGCCCAGTTCCGATTGGCCAGACCCCAGCAGAGAGCTAACCTACCAGTCAAAGCGTCAGCCCCCTGGTGGTCAGTGCATGTCATAGTGACTGGTCGAACGGCCGGAAACTTAGCATATTAGGCTTTTATATATATAGACAAGCAAACAGTAATATTATGTTTCTAAAACTTTAAAGACAAGTAATCTCCCCCAAGCAAGCAAATAAATGTGTGCATCTGAAAATTTAAATCTACAAAATTACCTTAGTGAATAGTTTTTATGTTTAATTAATTAAAATGATGTTGTCATGATTTGTGAACTGTAAAATACTCTATCCATAAACAAATAATACTTAAAAAAAGAATTTAGGTTTTAAAATGCTATTTCCTAAAATGGGGTTAGAAAAGTTAGAAGCACCAATATTCAGGTGTTTAAAAGAGGCCCAAGTGATTAATTTCAACTTTCTAATTTTACAGATAAAGAAAGCAAAGCTCAGTAGCAAATTAAGAAACTGGTCCAACGTCCCCATCTTGGTAGTGATTATTAAGATCTTGCCAGACTGTCTTCCTACACACAGAAGAAATTATCATGGTGTAGTCAAGATATAAATTATTTAAGTGTTTAATTAAGCTGCATGCAAAAATCTATATATAGCCAAAACCGGTTTGGCTCAGTGGATAGAGCGTCGGCCTGCGGACTGAAAGGTCCCAGGTTCGATTCCGGTCAAGGGCATGTACCTGGGTTGCGGGCACATCCCCAGTGGGAGATATGCAGGAAGCAGCTGATCGATGTTTCTCTCTCATCGATGTTTCTAACTCTCTATCTCTCTCCCTTCCTCTCTGTAAAAATCAGACTGCAGTGGAGCGTCAGCGAGCCTACCAAGCAGCAGCAGGTGCAGCGGGGCCGGGATGAACAGGAGCGGCAGGCAGGAGCAGCAGGCGGCATTGGTCTGCCGGTTTGGGCCCAATACCCGCAGGCCACGCCGAGGGGCCCCACCAGTGCATGAATCTGTGCACCAGGCCTCTGGTTTTTATATAAAAATTTAGACTTATTCTTACATGTATGAATGTTACACACACTTCACACAGACTTCTAAATGGACTAACCAACTTACTCTGAATGTGGATGCCATATTTCATACCAAGGTTGCTGCTTGACCCAAAAAAACCCCAAAGACTGAAATCCAATGCTGATGATGATCTGAGACAAAACGGAGAAGAGAAGGGCCCCCGATATGAGACCTGAAGGTGGTCTTTGTGCCACAAGTTCCTTCCAGGCAGGATTTAAACTCACTACATTAGAAGAAAAAGATGAAAGGTTTGTTGCTTGTTGCTCAATCAATTTGTCACTATAAAATGCATAATCAAATTCATTTAGAAACTTAAAAAATTTGTTTTTATCAACTACAATTAAAATAATACAATTTCTTCCTCATAAGACATTAACAAAGGTTTGAAGCAACATAAACAAAACAGTAACATAAAAAAGGCTTGTTTGTTTTATTAAGGTGTTATCCACTGAGTTTCTCCACTGTTAAGTCTCTCTTTTTTTAGTTTGTTCATAAATAATGTGTATAATAAGACTATGCAAAATTCCTGTCCCTCATCAAATTTCATTCACTAGTTTTTTTGGGGTTATTTTGAGAGAGGGAGGGAGGGAGGGAGGGAGGGAGGGAGAGAGAGAGAGAGAGAGAGAGAGAGAGAGAGAGAGAGAGAGAGAGAGAAGGAAAGAAAGAGAGAAAGAGAGAAAGAAAGAAAGAAAAATTGATCAGTCACCTCCTGTATGCGTCCTGATCGGGACAGAACCCACAACCTTTTTGTGGTGTACCAGGACAACGTTCCAATCAACTGAACCACCCTGCCAGGGCTCATTCACTAATTTTTAGCATTCATTAAAGACTGTCTATGATACATTATGATAGAATTGTACACCTGAAACCTATAATTTTATTAACCAATTCATCCCAATAAATTTAATAAAAAATGGTCTAAATAAGTCATTCTCAACCAACATGATTTTGCCCCTCAGGAAACATTTGACAATGTCTGGAGGTGCTTTTGGTTGTCACAACTGGAAGAGTGTTACAGGCACCTAGTTGGATAGAGGCCAGAGATGCTGGTAAGCATCCTACAATGCACAGAATCCCCAACAACAAAAAATTATTTGGCCTAAAATGTCAATAAAACTGGGAAGGTTCTTTCCATGATTTAAGTCCATCATTTCATTTATTCATTTACGTATTCATTCATTGACTGCCTGCCTGCCTGCCAGTATAAACTAAATTTTTATTTGATTAAATGAGTCAGATCCTATTACCATTACTACTTATTTTTTTTATTATTATTTTTATTGTTAATCCTCCTCACCCAAGGATATGTTTCCATTGATTTTTTTTTTTTTAAGAGAGAGAGTGGGATGTGGAGAGACAGAGAGAAACATCAATGTGAGAGAGTCATATCGATCGGTTGCCTCCCGCATGCACCCCAACCAGGGCCGGGGATCAAGCCTGCAACTGAGGTATATGACCTTGACCAAAATTGAACCCAGGACCCTTCAGTCCATGGGCCGATGCTCTATCCACTGAGCCAAACCGGCTAGGGCCATTATTATTTATTTTGATGTGAACATCACCAATTCATAGCCTGAGTCTAACTACACTATAATGCACAAAGCCATATAATTGGTATATCTTCTTTCATAAATATCAATATCAAGAGACCCCCAAAAAAGGCTGATGTAATATTCCTGATTAAAGAAGACTAAAGAGACATGATAATTACATGAAGTTTGTGAGCCCTGATAAGACCTAAGCTAGGGGACTAGGAAAAAAGATCGGTATAAAAGACATTGTTGGGCCATAGCTGGTTGCTCAGTGGATAGAGAGTCAGCCTGCAGACTGAAGGGACCCGGGTTTGATTCCGGTCAAGGGCACACGCCTGGGTTGTGAGCTCAATCCCCAGTGTGGGGTGTGCAGGGAGCAGCCGATCAATGATTCTCTCTCATCATTGATGTTTCTATCTGTCTCTCCCTCTCCCTTTCTCTCTGAAATCAATAAAAATATATTTTAAAAAATCTATACTAATAAGAGGGTAATATGCTAATTAGACCGAACATCTTCCGGACAAAGCCACGGGGGCGGGGGCCGAGGCAGAGGTAGTTAGTTGCAATCAGGCCAGCAGGGGAGGGCAGTTAGGGAAGACCAAGTCGGCAGGGGAGGGCAGTTAGGGGGCGATCAGGCCGGCAGGAGAGGGCAGTTAGGGGGCAATCAGGCCGGCAGGGGAGCAGTTAGGGGGCGATCAGGCCAGCAGGCAGAGGCAGTTAGAGGCGATCAGGTCAGCAGGCAGAGGTGGTTAGGGGTGATCAGGCAGGCGAGCAGTTAGGAGCCAGCAGTCCCGGATTGCGAGAGGTATGTCCAATTGCTGGATTGGAGAGGGTGCAGTCTGGGCTGAGGGACACCCCCCACCCCCCACCCCGCTCGTGCACGAATTTTTTGCACTGGGCCTCTAGAATGATTATAAAAGGGCATTGTTGGGACATATGACAAAACCTGAATACCTGCTGTGGATTAGATACTATTTTATCAATGCTAAATGTCCTGATCTTTACAACTGTGTTTAATTATACAGTATAAGAGAATGGCTTTGTTTTTAGGCAATATATACTAAAATATTCAGAGGCAAAGGGGCATAATAATACAAACTTATTCTCAAATATTTCAAAAAAGAGTGGAGAGAGAATAAAATAAATGGGGCAAAACATAAGCAACTGGTAATAAAAGGCAATATTAACAGGAAATCTGGAGAGGTATGCAGTGTTACAATTGTTGATGTAAATTTACCAAAGTTTAACAAATCACATTAGAACTTCATAGGCTTTGAAATCACTAACAAAATACTCACTTGTAAATACCACTACCAAAATGATTGCCAGATCAATGAAGAGAAACTGGAAGTCTCCTAGGTTACTTAAGACCTACAGAAGTAATTTTTTAAAACATATTTAGTTTTCAGGGATAATTACCACTTTTCTCTGGTTTTAGTGCCCCCCTCCCTACCCCCAATGATTACTACTAAATGACACTTGGACCTGCTTGAAAAGTGAAATACATTTGCCTTTCGAATCAGTGAAATACAACATATTGGCAAACATTCAAATTAATATGTTAGTATAAAAAGCATCTCCTAACAATTCAATTCAATAAAAATCTTTTAAAGCTTTTTTTGGCAAAAAGAAAACACAAACTTTTACTCACAATATTCAATATTCTTGAAAATTAGTATCTTGAAGCTTCCTTAATATCTAACAACATCCCTCCTGATACTTTCTACAAATGATAAAAAAGTATAGTTTCACAAAGACTCCTTGGGATGTCACCAATGTTCACTTAGAGATATATCTAAAGTGAGATCACTTTCAGGATAAAATCTGACAGAGTACTTATGGACACCACTGTTTAAGCTTTTTCTCCAAATTCATAATATTCTACAACTATTGCTGAAACACCTTTTCTCATTCCGGCCTTTTCCTGAAAATGTATAGCAAAATTAACTACAATTCTGAAATATGTCACAGCTTATTTAAAAGAATTCTAAAAAAGATGTCCAATCTGTGCTCAAGGCAAAAAAGTATACAATCATCTTTTATTCACAAGGTTCAACCACAGCTGTTGGCCTTGAGGAAAATGATATTCCATATTAATGAGATTTTTCAATCTGCTACACAAAACATAGTAAAACTGAAGAAAAATTTATAACTGCTAATTATGTAAATTCCATAATTAATGCATGCATTCAAAATCAAACTCATATGCTCATATCTTAATTTAAATGTCTTAACACTAAGTATAAGCAATATCAGTACTCACGGAATACAGTAGAGTAACACTGAAGTATTGTATAATGCTGTACAAAGCCATAAATTTAAACACACAGAAGGAAGTCATTAAAGCAGCACGGCCTTCCCTGTGAAAACAAATGTTGGCATGTGAATAAAGGCATTTCAAACTCCTCCTCCAAACCACAATTATATCTTGACAGATGAATATTAACATTCAACCGCTACAATAAAGCACACTTCTACCCAAAGAACTAAGCCAAAGCAGAACTGGAAGAGATGAGGAGTAACAATCAATCTGTTGCTAATAAATAACAGATCAAATATACCAAAAAACCATAAAAACAAATTCATATTACTTTCTGTGATCATTTCCCCCCCCATATTATTAAAGCAAGCTACAACGAGACAACAGGAAATTTTTAATTTGTCCTACCTGATGAGGTTTGGCACACAGGAAATACTAGGAGTTTTGGAGGTAAAGGGAGATGCCACTGAAGCCTCGAGCTCTGATAAAGAAATGCCTCCATGTGCCCTCTTTAGAGCCTAAAAGTTAGAAAAAGAAAACTGGTAACATCCTGTGAATGTGACTTAGGCTAGCAGGGATAGGGAACCTTTTTTCTGTCAAGGGCCATTTGGATATTTATAACATCATTCGAGGGCCATACAAAATTATCAACTTAAAAATTAGCCTGCTATATTTATTTGGTCAAACATTTCATTAACTCACCACTAATGCTTTGGCAGGACCAGACCAAATGATTTCACAGGCCTTATATGACCTGCGTGCCAGAAGTTCCCCACCCCTGGGCTAGAGAAAGAATTATAAATTACAAAAATTATACTTACACCACAATCATTTGCACCATCACCACACATCCCAACAAAGTAACTGGGGAACAAAAATTGTGTTAAGATTTTGATTAATTTCCTAAAAGGCACAATACTTAAGATTTCTCTAATACAATATTATGAAGAGCTAAGAAACCAAGATTCCCCCCAGTGAAACAAATAAATCTTTTCATTACAGTGATCACAGGCATGTTGCTTTGCATCAGCCTGCATGTCAAATGACCTGGGTATTGTCTAATTTCTGTCATAAGATGGACAAATCATTTTATCATTTTAACATCTCAATTTCCTAATCTTTAGAGCAAAGTACTTGGGCTTGTATAGCCTTTAGCACACTTACTTTTAAGGCTATCAGTAAAGAGTTCTCCCTTAAAAACTTGAAACATATTTATTTACTAAAACTATAAAGTCACTTCCATCAAACTGAGATGAATGAACCCTACCTCATACATATGACCTGGAAAAGAAACTGTAGATATTGTACTTTAGCTGCAAGAGCCTACATGAGCACATAAGCCTCTTTTAAATAGACACTTGAAGTTATCGCTTACCTACTTCACGGGATAATATTATATACATGAAATATTAGTTACTTTTCTGGGTTTGAAAATGAACTACAATTCACTAAAAAACAAAACAAAAAAAACACACCACACACCCCAATACTTACTCTACATTTTGCAATGCTTCTACTAATTGTGTCTTCTGATCAGGTGCCATACGAGCAAACACAGTGCCATGCAACATCAACTGGAAAAAATATGAATTTCTTTAAAATTCTGTTTACAATGTATTTATGTGAACACATACATAAACCCAAATAACTAACCTTTGGAACAAGGTCTTGAAAATGCTCCAGTATCACTGAAAATGATTTTCCATTCATTGCAAAATGATAACGAGACACCTGAAGATCCTCTAAGCTATCGTGGACTGATTTAATTGGAATTGCCTGTGTGTACAACATTCAAAATAATATTTAGGAAGCCAAACCAAGTAACACTACCTTATTTTAAATATATCTGATCCAAAACTAATTTTTTTCATTTGATATTTTACATAAGACATTGAAAGTTTAACATTTATTGAAAGTAAAGGTAAAGTCAATTTTAAGGGGACGAACCTATCTATATGTTTATTAAGAAAACAAAAACACACACACACACACAAACATAAGGAAGGCTAAATATCAGCTTCAATTTGAAATGATCCAAGAACTGAATATTTTGGCCTACCTTCACCATTTATCATTTTTAAAATAGGATAAATCTTTGGGATTCTTATACTTTAAAAGTGAGCTTCTCAACTTTGTCTAACTATCAAAATTTAAAGCATTGAGATTCCTGGATCTAATGAATCAGAAGCCCAGGCTTCTGTTTCTGTTTACTTTTTGTTTTGTTTAATTTTAATGCACAGTTTACTTTTTTAGACTAAATTAAAACATGCAAGCTTCAAAGAGAAAAATTCATCTTGACATTACCTCCGAGTCAATTGCTGATGAATTACTGCACTGTGTTAGAGTGTCTGCATAATGCCAGTTTATTTTGGCAACTTTTCCATCCTTTGGAGGTAATGCTTCAGCAATAATAACTTTATCCTGAGGTAGTATCATTCCACAGTCTCTGGCCACAGAGACAGCAGTCAACATGTTGTCACCTAATTTTCAAAATATTGAAAACACATTAAAATTAAAACATAAATGGATTAACCAACAAGTGCTTATTGAAAATCTACTATAGTCCCTATTACAGGACTGGGCAAAATGAAGATAATGTATGGTCTTTACTCTTAGAGTTTAAAAATAAAATAATCAGGACGTACTTATCAAAGGAAGCCTTAAATAATGCAAGCACATATATACTAAACAGTCAGAACATTCTCACCCACAATTTTTAAAACCAAATACATTCTCATTCTTTTTTATTTTAACCCTCACCTGAGGATATGTTTTTATTGATTTGAGAAGGAGGGGGAGAGGGAGGAGGAAGAGAGAGAAACATCGATGTGAGAGAGAAACATCAATCAGTGCTCTTGTACTTGGCCTGAGGGAGGATAGAACCTGCAATTTAGGTATATGCCCTCACCTGGAATCAAATCTACAACTTTTGGGTGCACAGGACAACGTTCCAACCAACTGAGCACCAAGCCAGGGCCATTCTCAATCTTTGAGTCATTCACTATAGCACCTGCCACAGTGCTACATACAGAGCTGGAGCTCAATAAATATTTTTTGAAACAACCTAGGAGTGACCGGTGATCTGTTTAAGAATACTAGAATAGTATCACAGGAAAGAAAGAATGAATTACAAAAGCAAGATTACACAGAACTAAAAGATAAGCAAGGTAGTAAGAATATAATCTTGCCGAAACCGGTTTGGCTCAGTGGATAGAGTGTCGGCCTGCGGACTGAAGGGTCCCGGGTTCGATTCCGGTCAAAGGCATGTACCTGGGTTGCGGGCACATCCCCAGTAGGAGATGTGCAGGAGGCAGCTGATCGATGTTTCTCTCTCATCGATGTTTCTAACTCTCTCTCTCTCTCCCTTCCTCTCTGTAAAAAATCAATAAAAAAAAATTTAAAAAAAAAAGAATATAATCTTTACAAGATGTAAAGAGAACAAAGACAGACAACTTCTCAGCCATGAGAAAAAAAGAAGAGCAGCACTGTAAAGGATAGATTCAAGAGAAGAAAACACTAGCTTACAGGAGAAGCTGACAACGGTCTTGGGAGCCCACTGCTATCAGACTGAAGGGCAATACTATTTTTTCCCCCAACTCCTACACACTATTTCCAAGGGTGTCTTCCAGTGATCAGACAGACCCCTTAGGACAACACAACTATAGTCAGTCATGGTAGAGAAAGAGGGGAAAGAGATACAGAGATAGAAAGTGCCTTGAAGCAGTCATTAAAACCAAGAATTGCTAGGAAGATAATAAATTTAGTTACTTTAGCTGTATAGTAACAACTATGCTATCAGATGAATCTCAGAGTCTAAAACATAATTCTAGTAGAGCAAACAAATGTACAAATATCTAACACAGAGCAAGGCACAATAAGTGCTATAAGAAATATATGATTACAGAGAGATAAAAAGGAGCAGAGGTTAAAATTTTGTAGTGTGCCCTTTATTATCTTACTATACCAGTGATGGTGAACCCTTTTGAGCTCGGCGTGTCAGCATTTTGAAAAACCCTAACTTAACTCTAGTGCCATGTCACATATAGAAATTTTTTGATATTTGCAACCATAGTAAAACAAAGACATATTTTTGATATTTATTTTACATATTTAAATGCCATTTAACAAAGAAAAATCAACCAAAAAAATGAGTTCGCGTTTCACCTCTGACACGAGTGTCATAGGTTCGCCATCACTGTACTATACTTTCTATCAAGAGAATTTGTTAGACTTCAAAAGAATAGTGCCAAGTTAACTTACACCTTAAAAAATATTCAGAGCTGAAATAGGGCAATGCAGGATGGAGCCATAATATAATATACTTTTATAACCAATTGGTCATCTGTTAGTATATCTTGAACTCTAAGAGTCACACTCAAATTTTTCTGAGTCATTTTATAAAGTCTAACCTGTGACCATGACAGTGCGAATGTTGGCTTTATGCAAATCTTCAAGTACTGCAGGGGTTTCTCGCTTTAATTTGTTCTGCATTATAATTAATCCCATAAAATCCATGTTGTTTTCAATGGCATCTCTGCAGAAAAAGAAATTTTAACACGTAATGGTATAGTCAAGTGAACGGGCTATTTTCTCTTTATATTGATAAAGCAATTTAAAATATCCAAAAATGATAAATTAAGACATTTTATAGGCAGAACAAAGCACATATGTGTATGTTTATGAATTCAATATCTTAAAAAAAATTAAGCCTGGAAAAACAATTCCCAAGAAATACATTGAAATTAAATTTTACCCTTTGAAATGCAGGAATATAAGAATCATTTGGAAATGTATAGTTAGTTGGCTCTCCACATCCCCAGGGGAGTCCTAGAACCAATTCCCACACAGATATCAAGGGACAACTGTATTCCTTTGTAAGACACTAAAAACGCATAGTGCTAAGGAATGTTCAACTTGTATCCTACTCACCAACTGAGCAAGCATAAATAAATCTATTTTACTATCCCACACACAACATACCCTAACTTAAATGTTAAGAGAAAGGGGGAAAAACTGTCCCGTAAGTACATTTGATACAATTATACTACATTCATTATCAAATTTTTGATGAATTTTTATAAAACTCTTTATCAAAATCTTGATCCTTGAAGTGGGATGTAAGAAGCATTAGCAATCCAACAATGAGATCTACTTGGAATCCAGAGATAAGTCTTTTATAATATTCATATTCAATAGTTAAAGATGTTATTCCTTCAAATAGTTATCTATAATGCACCAAGAACTACAGAAATCGTTGGAATGTCAAAGATAAAAAGGTATGATATATACTCTTCAATATGTTTTTCTGGGGAAACAGACAAGCAAGCAAAACAAAAAATAATAGGCGCTTCAGCATTATAATGCACATGAAGTCTGTTCAGCGATAGTTGTGTTAAGAAATCTCAAGCTAAATCAGAGAAATATTTTTTTCAATAGAGAAAGGGGGATGGAGGTTAGGGACCAAAATTTCACACTTGCAATAACCAAGTGGTTTTTCTACACAAAACTCAACAATTATAGGCCCTTTACATAGCTATAAACCTCAATAACTTTGAAATATAATTCAGAACAAGGAGTGTTAAAGGTATTAAAGAATAGTTAGGAAACTTACTACAAATGATATTGCTGGTGATAATAGGAGAAACAAGCCTTGAACCTGAAAATGCATTTCAAAGCACAAAGCTTCACAAATGTGAAACTACTGGATCAAGAATACTGCAGCCATTTTCCTACAAGATACTAGCCATGTCTGGCTTTAAGCGGTTTCCTAACTTTCCTATGATACAGGTCATGGAAATTTTGTCCTCTAATTAATGAATACTACAATATTTAATTCAAGATATAAAGATTCAAGCTGTTAGAGAAATGCCAAAACCTATTCCCAGAAGTTAGAATGGACACACAGAGAAGATTGAAGGATGAGGATGAAGGGAAGCAGAGAGAGAAGTTGATAGAGAAAAATAGGGTATTCTGGGCAGAAGGAACAGCCCATCCAAGGGCATGGAAAGACGTCTGAAAGAACAGGCTCAAGAACTATAGGCAATTCAACAGTTAGTCCTTAGGAGGGAACTAGCAAAAGGTGAAGCTGTAGAGACAAAAAAGAGCCTAATATGCCCTTCACAGGAATCGATATATTTTACATTTTGGCTCTCAATCATGTATATGCATCATATCATTTGGTTATCACTTTTTTTTTAAACACAAGTTGCCAACAGCACTTCATTTTTTCTTTTCCAACATCCTGTTCTGCAGCTTCATTGGCTCTTTTTGCCTGGATGGCAAAGAGCCGGGCATTGGTACAGGCCATGCAAAGACTGGCAAAAGCCTTGAAGTTCTTCTCCTCCCTCTGTGATGACCCTGGCTTTTTCTCCTTCTTGTAGACATTCCGTATGGGCATGACTGGTCCGGTCAGCTGGGTAGCCCATTTGAGTTCTTCAGAACTGTCTCCCTTCCAGGGGCCAAAGGCTTCCTGGGAAAGAGTATGAGCTTGGAGCGGTACTCCTTCAGCCGCTGCACGTTGGCCTGCAGGGACTCGGTGGACTTGTTCCGCCGCCTCGGATCCACTGAGATCCCAATGGTCCCGGCTACCATTTTGTGGACTCCAGCCACCCTTAACTCTTCCAAGCTGAAGGCCCTCTGGCTCGGCTCGCACTTTGGCACTTTGGTGTGGGTACCAAACGGTGGGGCATCTCACTATGGGTCGGATGGGTCCGGACTCAGGGCAAGGGGCAATGCAGCGCCGGGCCTTGCGTCTGTGGATCTTCTGCGCCAGCTGATTAAACCACATGGCAACGCACTGCTGCCAGTCCTTGTGGAAGTGGGGCTTTAGGATCATGCCATTTCGGCTGGGCGCCATGGCTGCTGCCTACAGGCCTTCTCGGAAGGAGAACGGCCGGCAGAAAGCCACTTTTTTTTTTTTGAAACATTCATGCTTAGACCACATCCTTCAAATAATGTTTTATAGTTAGAATTCCTAATGTAGTTTTTCCTTTTAGTTAATTTGGCTATCCACTCTACTCCTTTAGTTCTCTCTCAGAAAACATAATTGTACTACAAACACTTTTTATTTAATGTACCTGAAATAATTAGAAGTTCTAATAGTCCATAATTTAACTATTGCCCTACTGGTGAGTATTATGTTATTTGTACTATCTAAACATGAACTTATGCACATAAAATATTTTTTCAGGCTGGATTCCTAGAACTGCACTTGCTAGGTCAAATAAGCAAATTTAAATGTTCTTCAGAACTTAACAATAGTGTACTAGCAATATCCTATCTAATGAAAGAGTAATATGCAAATTAACCATCACTCCGCGACAAAGATGGCAGCGGCCATAGTGGCTGGGGCAGGACGCTGGTGGAGCCCAGCAGGCAAATGCGTCCGCAGGCAGCACCCAGCAGGGCCTGCTTGGGGGTCGCCGCAACGACCCGGGAGCAGGCAAGTCCGGCTCGCACCCGCTGACAAGTGCGGCCCGCAGGTCGCACCCAGCAGGGCCTGCTTGGGGGTCACTGCAACGACCTGGGAGCAGGCAAGCGCGGCCCACAGGCAGCACCCAGCAGGGCCTGCTTGCCCATCCCCGTGGTATAGAGCAGGCAGGCCCCGCAGAGAGCAGAGAACCACAGGGACTGGGCCCAAGCTGTCAGTAGGACATCCCCTGAGGGCTCCTGAATTGGAGAGGGTGCAGGTTGGGCTGAGGGACCCCCCTCCCTCGCCCCCACCAGGCCTCTAGTCCTATATAATAAAAGGCTAATATGCAAATAGACCGAACGGCAGAACAACCAAACAACCAGTCGCTATGACATGTGCTGACCACCAGGGGGCGCGCGCGGAACATAGTGGGAGTCGGCAGCAGGCAGCAGAGCATAGAACATGGCTGGTGTCGGTGGAGCAGGTGAGCGGGGGCGCCAGACCAAGGCAGGGTGCCGGTCACTGTCATTGGGGCGAGCCTCTGATGGTTACTGAAAATTCTTTGCTCCTGCGCACCGCAGTCCAGCCTGGCACTCGCACCTGCTGCTGGCACTGGCCCCGCTCGCACCCACTGCCGGTGCCGATTGCTCGGTGCCGTCAGCGGGTGCAAGCGATGGCTGCCAGCCCCGATCATCCCTCAGGGCTTCTCCACCTCCCTCTGCTCCTGAGGGACTATCAGGGCCAGCAGCCACCACTTGCACCCGCTGCCAGCGCCAGCCCCACTCACACCCACAGCCGGTGCTGGAGCCACCGCTCACACCTGCTGCTGGCCCCAATCACCCGAGGGCTTCTCTACCTCTCCCTGCTCCTGAGGGGCGATTGGAGCAGAAACTGCCGCTCGCACCCGCTGACAGCGCCGTCGCCACTTGCAACCGCTGCTAGCACCCCAATTGCTCTGTGCTATCAGCGGGTGCAAACGGGGCCGGCGCTATCAGCATGTGGGACCAGCGGTGGCGGGAGCAGGGCTGCCAGCAGACAGGGGACTGGGGGCTGCGGCAGGAGGGGCTGGGCAGGGGCGAGGAGGATGGGCCGAGACCCGCCCTTGTGCCCACCACAGCCTCGCGGCCCACAGTTCCTTTCAAGGTGCACAAATTTGTGCACTGGGCCCCTAGTCTATATATATCTATACTAATAAAAGGGCAATATGCTAATTAGACCAGACATCTTCCGGACAGCCTTCCAGACAAAGCCACGGTGGCAGGGGCTGAGGCAGAGGTAGTTAGAGGCGATCAGGCCAGCAGGCAAGAGCAGTTAGGGGCGATCAAGCAGACAGGCAGAGTGGTTAGGGGCAATCAGGCAGGCAGGCAGGTGAGCAGTTAGGAGCCAGTGGTCCTGGTTTGCGAGAGGGATGTCTGACTGCCGGATCAGGTCCGATCGGGATCAGGCCTAAACCGGCAGTCGGACATCCCCCAAGGGGTCCCAGATTGGAGAGGGTGCAGGCTGGGCTGAGGACCCCCCCACCCCCGTGCACAAATTTCGTGCACTGGGCCTCTATTATATATAAAAAAGCTTAAGCGACCTTTATGACCAAAGGACAGGAACTAACGGTCAACCAGTTGCTATGACGTGCACTTACCACCAGGGGGCAGACGCTCAACACAGGAGCTACCCCCTGATGGTCAGTGCACTCCCACAGGGAGAGTGCTGCTCAGCCAGAAGCTAGGCTCCTTCCTGGCTGCCTGCCACTTGGTGCACTGCTACATCCCCCGAGGGGTCCCAATTGTAAGAGGGCGCAGGCCAGTCTGAGGGACCCCTGCTCCCACCCATGCAAGAATCCGTGCACCGGGCCTCTAGTGTTGTTATAATTTTCTCAAAACTTCACTAACACTTGTCATTATCAATCTTTCCAATTTTGTCAATCTTAGAAGAAAAGTGATGCCATAGTGTGGTTTTATTTTGCAGTTCCCCAAGAACTGAAGTTCCCTATCATTTTCATGTGTTCACTGGCCATTTGTATGTCTTTTTTCTGATAAGTTTGTATCATTTGCCCATATAAAAAAATTACATGTTTTGTTTTCCTTCCTGATGCATATCTCTGATTGTGAACTCCTCCAATAGGTGATGGGAAGCCATTTATAAGAACTCCAGGTAGGATTCTGGTATTAGATCTGAAAGTTAAAAAGCTCTCTCTGAAGGCAGTGTGGAATACAGACTGCAGAAAGGAAAGACTAGGAAAAAGAGCTGAGTCCTTGAATTAGAGATAATGGCTGTGGGAATGGAGGAAGAGAAGGCTATTTCACAGGCAAAATTATCAGGACAGCTAGTGAATATACGTTTCTGCTTGCTTACAAATATTATCCTTAAAGGGTAGGTCTTTATTAGTTACAGTGAAGAGACAATCCTTGAAGGTAAAATCCATATCTATACCTGGACGTAAATGTGATGTTGGTAATACCATTTGAACTTTGGGGTAGATGGTAATTGTTTATTGTGACTCATGATACTGACTAAATAAGTACTTGGTTCCAACCACTAGGCAAAAGCAAACTGATCATTTGGGAAAAATTAACTTCTGTAGAATTAGGTTTAGTAAAACATGATTATGTTCCTAGAACATGCCTGACATACAGCAGGGACTCAATAAATATTTAACAAATAAGTAGAAAATAGTTCCAAAGAGCTGTTTCAATCAACTAAAAAGAAAACCATTACATTATGTATATTTTCATACATTCAATAAATACTTAATGAACATCCAACTACATTCAAACTATTGTATGTGACATATAAACATAAATGATGCATCATTGGAAAAACTGTAGAAAAATTGTTAATCAACCTTACCTGCTAATATTCTGCACTTTATGCCATGTCAGTTTTGACTCCAATTTCCTGTGTGCAAGAGCAATTACACGGAAGCCCTGTTTAGTGTAATCCTCTAAAACATTTTCAAAATCAAGAGGAACTTTAAAAGGAAAAAATAAGTGTCATTGTTAGAATTGCTAATAAAAGCCTATACAAATACCAGAATTTTATTCAAATAAAGTTGGCTCCTTACTTGTTTCAGGTTTACAAAGACTGGCAATGACCTCAGGTGCTCCTTTCATGTAGGCATCCATTTTTTTATCCCCTAGCACCCTTGCAACCACACTCATACGTTGCAAAGCAGAAGAAAATGGGAACTGGCGAACAATTCCTATCTCATAAATAGCCTGTATAATTTCAAAAGATGCACGAAGTATTTATTATTCTTTAAGAATTAAAACAACAAATATACTTAGGTAAAAAAGTAAACATTCTTCACTCACTGGAAGTTCAAACAGCTCCTAAAAACAAAACAAAAAAAATAAATAGTACAGATTAAGTCCTTAAGATAAAAAACAACTATGTATCCACAAAACAGCAAGAAACTTCAATTATTTCAAAGTTATGTTTCAAGATTACTTCTCCTCTGCCTTCCATTTTTAAAAAGTACATCCTTGAATATTTCGAGTATTCTGCTATCCTAAAAATATTAACATATTAAATACTAAAATAAACTGAGGGGACAAATTTAAAAATTCACTTCTCACATATTCTTTTTATTAAATTCTAGGAATCCAGTTGCAATTTAAAGGGAATTCACCACATTATCACAATCACAGGGCACTAAGCTATTCAGTAAATAGGAAGGAAAAGTAACGGTACTGAGAAATATATCTCAGTATTTCACAAAGTATACCTGCAATATCCCAACAATAATTTCCAATAAACATAGTTAAAATATTCATGTCTGCATGAGAGTTAAAGAACGTGATTTCATCTTCTAGTTATATTTCAAAGTGAGGACTGAATGTTGGCATCAACAGTATAATCCAGCTTAAAGTGATTTCGCACCATTTCCTGGTCTCCTGCAGGTGTAGATTCAGGAAGCAGTTGTTTTGGAGGACGAACCACAGTTGGCATAATTCGATTATGAAGTGCTGTTTCCTCTTCAGTTGCTTCCTCCAGAATCTGAAAGGAAAATATTCAACATATTGCTTTATAAAATTGAATCCACTGATTTCATTTTTAAATAAAACAGACACTATGTCTATTTTTAGTGAAGTTAAAAAATTTTGTGTCCAAAAAAATAAATGAGCACAACTAGATTATTAACATAAATAAAACAAAATATAAACAAAGCTAGTTAAAGTCCTAGCAACTCATAGGAGAGAGGAGGAAGAGGTGAAAAGCAGAATAAAATAATAGGGAAAAAGTTTTCTAATTTTGCTTCTATTATCCAGGGATTCCTTTCTGCTAACAGGAATGTGTTCAAAACTATATGGAGCTCAGATATGGTTAGTAGAATGAATGGATCAAGAACACACTGAGGTCCAAAGATATGAGTCTGTTTGTTTGAACTCTTCTAGTTAGGTAGGATACCACTAACCTAACCCCTTAACATTTATTTTAAAAACACTTTCTTTTGGTAAAAAATTCAAATAAGAATTTGTATTAAAAATACACATACATGGCCCGGCCAGCATGGCTCAGTGGTTGAATGTCAACCTATGAACCAGGAAGTCAAGGCTCTGTTTCCAGTGAGGGCACATGCCCAGGTGTGGGCTCGATCTCCAGTGTGGGGCATGCAGGAGGCAGCCGATTAATAATTCTCTCTCATCATTGATGTTTCTCTCTCTCTCCCTCTCCTCCCTCTCTGAAATCAATAAAACACACATATGTGACAAACTAATTAGACTACAACTGGAAAAAGATGGGGAAGGGAACTATGCCTAATTAGCCAACTTTATACAATTCTAAAACACACTTTAACATCTCCAAAATTGGGAGGCATCTTATAGGGAGTCAATCACACCAACAAACAGCAGTAGTACCAAGTTATGCGAAAACATTCCACTGATCCTTTCTTGTAAGACCAAGCATCAAAGCATCTAAGTCAACAAAACACACTATTACACAAACTTATTTATTTAACCCATTATTAATATTCTACAAACAAAGCACTAAAACCTACTGAAAATCTATTCAGTGGGAGAAATTTTGGAGAACATCAAAATGAATCAGTCCTATTTTGCTTTACAAATGAAGTGGACCTCCTTTAAGATATTAAATTTGATGAGAATTGCCCGGCTGGCATGGCTCAGAGGCTGAGCGTCAACCTATGAACCAGAAGGTCACAGTTCAATTCCTGGTCAGGGTATATGCCCGGGTTGAGGGCTCCATCCCAGTGTGGGGCGTGCAGGAGGCAACCAATCAATGATTCTCTCTCATCTTTGATGTCTCTTTCTCTCCCTCTCCCTCTCCCTCTCCCTCCTTCTCTGAAATCAATAAAAATATTTAAATAAATAAATAAATAAATAAATGTGACAAGTATTTACTGTGAGCTTTCAGAAGATGGCAAAGCATGTATCTACTCATTCATCTCCTTCCCTTTCGATCAACAAAACACACACACACACACACACACACACACACACACTAAACCTGTAAAAATAAACGAAAAGGAAAACAGGGAGAGATTTCCAATAAGGATACAAAAGGCAAAACTGAAACATATTGATGAAGATAGCAATGAAGGAAACAGGATCCCAGAATAAACACAAGAGGACATGCAGGAGAGGTGCAAATATTTCTTATCAGCCAGAATAGCTGAATTAAATTTAAAAAAACAAAAACAAAATCAAGGAGTCATTTCCTAGAGATATGGACTCTATCTGAGAAGAAGGGCTCTAATGTGAGGGTTAACATTCTAGAATAAAACCGTACTTATGCAAATACTTGGAGTGTGTGAGGAATTCAACCTGGAGATTAATTCTGCTCCTCTGAAACTCAGGGCACATGCCCAGGCTGCAGGCTCAATCCCCAGCAGGGGGCATGCCAGAGGCAGCCAATCGATGTTTCTCTCTCCCTCTCTCTTCCCCTCTCTCTAAAATCAATAAGAACATATTTTAAAAGTAAAAAAATAAAATTATCAATAGCCTAACATTTAGGAGGAACAAGCGCAAACCTTTGTGTGTATGTAAGGACACAGAAAGGAGAACATGGGTAAAAAGAACACCGAAGACACATCACTACTCTATCCTTTTTATCTGACCAACAAATTGTGATGCTGAAGATCATCTTACTGACTCAGGCGTACTGCCTCAAGTTGCGGATAGCAGATATCCATTAACACATAAAGCAGGGGTCTGAGCAGGTCGTCTCTATTGAAGGTATTTAAGTGAGTCAACATAACTAAAGCAGACTTTTTTTTTACACAATTACAATATTCTCTCTCCAGTGATACACCTTTAGAAATTACATTGTTTCTTTCACGGTACAAGATAGACTATCATCAAAACAACCTGCAGAAAAAATCCTTCTGCAGGGTAATTTTTACTCTATTTTTCTGAAGTTACTTGTGCTTTAAATATTAAACTTACCCATCCGATGGCTTCAAACATTTTCAAATCAAGTGGATCACCAGAAAGAACTCCTTCAATTTTTGTGAGTGAATGGCAAGTAGCCATACAAGCAACAAACTGAGACTTTACCAACATCTCATTGCAAACATTTTCTTCTGGCAAAAGAAAACTAAACAGATAATGTACTGAATTAGATTCATAAATTCCAAGACTTGAGACAATATTCTAACAATATTCAGGTTTTGTCATTTTAAAAATGGAAATAAAATGTTTGCATTTCTGCATATTTTTAACTATAGTTTAGGAATTCAAAAACATTTCCTTCCATGAAAATTATACATGACTAAAATATGGTATTATCTTAGATTCTGAATAACTAGGACAGACATAACACTGTAGAACACACTAGACACTAAATAATAACTAAAACTCCTGCCTTTGGACATATGGCAGATTAGAATACAAAAAAACCCTCTTACAAAAACATGAAATGAATGTGTAAAACATAATCCCTTAAATGCGGGATTTAAGGGAAATTTTTTAAGTGCCACAAATAGGAGGATTGGAAAACAGGAGGGGTATGAACTTGAGCAGATGCTGTGACTACCTGGGAAAGAAGGAAGAAGGGAGGGGAGTCCTCTTAGGGAGTCACCTAACGACTTGAGTTTTAATACCCACACAGGAACAGGAGACAAAGTCTGGGCCACAAAGTAGGGACTTGAAACTAAGATAGCCTGTGCTCTTCAACAGCTACATCCCTGGAAAACAGTGTGCTAGAAAATTTACACACAGACCCAAAGGCATAACTAAGAATAAGCTTATCTCTCCCCACCTCATAACCCCTGCCCGAAGTTCAAGACAATACCTAATATCTATATATTTACTGTACACTAGGCACTGTTCTAGAAACTTTAAATATATTCGACTCATCTCATCCTCACACCATAAGAAGGTGTTTTATTATCCCCATTTCAGAGATGAGAAAACTGAAGTAGAGTGCTTAAGTAACTTGACAAGGTTACCCAGCACGGAGGTGATAACAAGGATTCAACCAAAGGTTTCAGGGCCTAAACTTTAAACCACTGCACTACCCACGATGGGATTTGGATTTGAATATATGCCACTGCCTGGTCCGAAAATTCCCAAGTTATGAAAGTAACATTAAAGTTTGTCTGGTCCCACTGATACCACTCTTAGCCATGCTCTTGGCCAAGCAAGGTCAAAACTCTCTAGAAAAAGAGCTCCCACAACACAGACACAAAGGAAGGAGTCTCATAGAAAAATCCGGCTAAAGTTGAATTCATAATTTAAAAATGCACCAGGAAACAATTCTTACTAGTCAACAGACACAAAAAAAGACAGAATTAGAATCCCACAAATTTCAGATAATAGAATGGCAATCTAAAAAATGCAAAAAGGCATTTTAAATTAAAGACTTGGAAAAAGAACAAGACGTGTGGGGAGAAGAGGAGAAGCAGATATTGAAAGAACCAAATGAAATTTCTTGCCCAACATATGGTTAGAATTTTCATGTGAAGAGAAAATAAGAATGTGGGAAAGGCCATAATGGAACAGAAAGAAGTTGAACAATTACCATAATTTATGAAAAACATAAGTCCTTAGAATCAATAAGCAAAATGAGTCCTGCACAAATAAAAAGATGGCAGTGAAACTACAGAAATCAAACATAAATATTTTTAAAACAACAAAGGAGGAAAAATATTATTTAAAGAGACCTGGTAAGACTTCTCAACAGCAATAACAAAAGGAGTCAGGAGAAATGGATAACACCTTCAAAGTGCTGGGAGAACACAACATTGTGAACTAATGGCACAGAAAGATTGAGAAGTAAAGATGTAGGGAGGTAAAAAGATTGAGAAGATAACGCAAAGCAAAATTAGGCAAAAGAAAGCTGATGTATAACTATATAAAAACATTATATGAAATATAATTTAAGGCAAGATGCATTATTGGGGATAAATAAGTTCCCAAAGTGAGGACAACTTATTTACCAAGGAGATGTAACAACTCTGAAACTGCATGAGCTAAACAATAGTCAATCAAACTATCACAGGCGTTTGAGAGGCAAAAAAATAATAATAATAACATAAACACAATTGTAGCAGTAAAACTTCTAAGCATCAAAAAGACAGTGAAACAAAGTAAAATAAAGATAGACTGGTATAATATTTTTTCAATGCATAGTAATGAAAAATTACAATCCAGAAAATACAAAGGACTTCAAACAAATTAATAAGATATAGATTAACAACACAACAGAAAAATTAGGCTATAAACTGGCAGTACACAGAAGGATGTGAAAATATGCTCAGCTTTCTAAGTAATAAAGAAACTACAAGAAAAGCAACAATAAAATATAATTTCACATCTATCCATGTGGCAAAAATTAGCAGTCTGACAATATCAAGTTTGACAAGGATGTGGAGCAACAGGATCTCTTACCCACTGAGGGAGAGTGAGTTAGCACCACCATCATTTAGAGAGCAATTAGGCAATACCTACTAAGGCTGTAGCCATGTCTGTGCTATATCCATAACCCAGCACTGACATTTTTAGGAAGAAAGTTCACTGAAACTCAACTACATGCTCACTAGGAAATGTGTATAAGAATGTTAATTGCAACATTGTTTGTGAAAGTGAAAGGTAAAAGGGAGAGGAAAAAATGAAACTATTCTTTAGAAGAAGTTATTATGGTTTAATCACATAATGGAATACTAAAAAACAGCTAAGATTAATAAATTAGATCTATACATATCAACATTGAGAAATCTTCAAAACAATGTTAAGCAACAAAACAGCAGCAAAAACACGTACAAGGGTATCAATTGTGTATATTTTTTTATAGATATATCTTGTATATAGACAGGAATATATGTAGTGAAAATATAAAAATGTGCAAAGGTAATAATAGAACACAACTTCAGAATGATGATAGCGGTAGGGAATGGGGTAGATTAAGCTTTAGCAATATCTGCAATATTTTAAATCTTTAAAAAGATCTGAAGCAAAAACTACAAAATGTCAACTGGTTTAACCTTCATGGTGGGTATACAAGCTATCTGTTACATTACTTTTTTTCTTTATGTTTGAATTTTTCATATATTAAAATATTTATTAAAAATTAACTAATAAATAATCAAGTGTAGCTAATATTTACCGTGTATTTTCCACTCGTTGAATCCCCCAAAGATCTAAACCATCTTCAGTAAGAGTTCCAGTCTAAAAAAAAGTACACATACAAAGTATGAATAATGCCTCCAAAAACAAAAATCATGAAAACCTCTGCTACATATACACCATGGAGAACTATATACAGCTGTAAACAAACGAATGAAACAGTAAGAGTTCCGTGTATTGATAGAGAATAACTTCCAGGACAAATAGTGAAAGTGGGGAAAGGGTGCAGAACACTCTTACGGTATGGATCCTCTATTTATAAGAGGGCATATGCGTACATCTGTGTATTTATAGACTTATATTATTAAAAACAAAACAAAGTAATGGAACAATGCACCAATTAACCTTTAAATCAATAAAGGATACCTACACGGGAGAACGAGATTAAAGCATAAAAAGGAAGGGAACAAGTTAAATTACATCAGGGGAAGCAATCAACCAAATACAGGATATAAATGACCTGGTTTCTTCAACCAGATGATTGGGAAGAAAAGCAACTGTTACAGATTAATTGTAGCTAATGCAATCATTTGGATTCTGACTTAAAAACAAACTAAAATTTTAGGACTTCTTTTTAGAAAAGCAGGGAAATGTGAATATGAACTAGATATTAGATAATACTAAGGAATTACTAATTTTGTTAAGTGTCGTAGACAGTTATTGTAATTTTTTAAAAAACACCTAGAGATACATACTGAGGCATATGGGTGAAATAAAGTCTGATGCTGCCACCTTCAAAACGAGAAACTAGACAAAGATTGACAAAATGCTAATAACTGTCAAAGCTGGGTATTGGGTACATGAGGGTTTATTATACTTGATCTTTTCTCCACTTTTATGTCTGCTTAAAAATTTTACTAGTAATGTTTCCAAAGAAGAAAAGCATAATTGAAATTTTCTAAACAGATAATTATGAAATTCAGTCTTAGAATGTGATCTCTTTTTTTAAACACAATATTTGTTAAAAAATATTTTGTCTCCTTTGGGTGGTGAGCACATGATGCAATATACAGATGACGTATTATAGAACTGTACATATTAACCAATGTCACCCCATTAAATTTAATAAAAAGTAAAACAAAAGCAAATGCAAAAAAAAATTTTGTCTTCCATTTTTTTCTTTAATAATGAAGATGCACAAAAATCAAATTCTTATCATATCAGCTACCCAAGTTTAATTCTCAAAATAAAACTTTTAGGTAAACTAATTTCAGTTGAGAAAAGGAAAACCCTTTGTAAGAGACGAGGTATATTTCACATAGGTACAAAATTTTTTATTTTCACATAAAATAAAAAAATTAGTGACCTTCATTATTTTTAAATATATTCAATAAATCATAGAGCGAACACTAAATACTTAATAGCAATAAAATTCCAGTAAATATATCTGTATGGAGTATATTCTGTTAAAAACATGAAAGATTAGAAGGTCTTTACTACTACTACTACTACTACTACTACTACCACTACAAGACATAATTTTAGATATGAATGATTAGACAACTGCAGATTTGGGCAAATAAGCAATATCCAAAATATTAAAAATTGAAAAAATAATTAGAAATACACAAAAATGATACATATGCCAAGTAAGTTGAAAAAAAAGGACCCTTAAAAAATGTGTGCAAATTGGTTGATAAAAAATATAGAAAACATTAATCTAAGTATTTAAAATCTACAAAGTAACCTTTGATAATAATTATGAGGCCCTGGCCGGTAGCTCAGTTGGTTGAAGCATCATCCCAATACGTCAAAGTTGTGGGTTCGATTCCCAATCAGCACACATACATGAGAATGATTATGAAACTGACCCAACCTTGTCAAAGCAAACAAGATTCAGCTGTCCACATATATTTATCCTTTGGGGACTGATGCAGAAAATCCCAATTTTTTTCAGTCTTCTTTGAGCATACCCAATCCCAGCAGTCATTGCAGCAGGAAGTGCAGGTGGCACAGTGATTGTAATGATATCAAGAGCCTCGATAATTATTCCCCCAATCCCCCCCTATAATTCACAGAAAAATAAGTGTCAGCGCCCGCCCCCCCCCCCCCAATATTTACTAATCTAGTAA